TTACACCATACACAAAAATAGACTCAAAATGGATGAAAGACCTAAATGTGAGACAGGAATCCATCAAAATCCTTGAGGAGAACACAAACAGCAACCTCTTCGACCTTGGCTGCAGCAACTTCTTGCAAGACACGTCTCCAAAGGTATCAGAAACAAAGGCAAAAATGAACTATTGGGACTTCATCAAGATAAAAAGCTCTTACACAGCAAAGGAAACAGTCAACAAAACCAAAAGACAACCGACTGAATTGGAGAAGATATTTGCAATTTATATAACTGCAATTTCAGTTTATTTTCATTAGTATAGATAAAGATGTTAATATATATAGAGAGAGAGAGAGTTTTCTAAGATAATTCACTAAAACATCCTCTGGGACTTGTAGTGCCCAATTAAGTTGCTGAGCTAATGTCAACTCTTACAGCTTTTACATTTGTGTTACTCATAGGGCCACACCAAGCTATTTCAGAGCATGAGGCAAAAGGAAAATTACATGCCCCAAAGTACATGTTTTAATGTAATTTTTAGTGGTTAACTTTTTCCAAAAGTAGATTTTGAAAATACTATTGGTAAGTTTGCTTTCATTTAAACCAGGAAAGTAAAATTACAATAAGCTCTGTTTCTGGTATAGATAAAATATTTAAACTTAAGGTGAGTTTTGATATACTACTTTCAAATTGGTAATACATTATCAACTTCTTTAATGTTCTGGAAAAGAATAACCACTTAAAAATACATAAAAACATGGGGCATCTGGATGGCACATTCGGTTGGGCCTTTGACTCTTGGTTTTGGTTGGGTCATAATCTTGGGGTTGTGGGATCAAGCCCTGCTTGGAGCTCCACACTCAGCACGGAGTCTGCTTGGGGCTCTCCCTCCGTCTCCCTCTGCCCCTCTCCACTTTACCCCCTCTCTGAAATAAATAAATAAATCCTAAAAAAAATTTTTTAGGATTTATTTATCTGAGAGAGATAATAAGAGAGAGCACAAGCAGGTGGGGGGTGGGCAGAGGGAGAGGAAGAAGCAGACTCCCCACTGAGCAGGGAGCCTGACAAGGGGTCAATTCCCAGGACCCATGAGATCATGACCTGAGCTGAAGGCAGACACGCAACTAACTGAGCCACCCTGGCACCCCTAAATAAAGAAATCTTTAAAAAAAATACTTAAAAACATGTATATAGGGACTCATCTTTTTCTTTTGACTCAGGTTTCCATATGGTTCATCATAGCACTGTTGGATCCTATGTTTATTTGAAATTTTGGTTTATCATGGATTTTTTCCCCATTCATTTCAATTTGTTAAAATATTGAGCTAAAATATTTATCATCATTACTGGATTTTTTTGGCATGCCCTTAAATTTTGCAACTGTAATCAAGACATTGGAGACCAAGATTTGGGTGGTTACTGTTTTTTTTTTGTTAAGATTTTATTTATTTATTTGACAGAGAGAAAGAGGGAACACAAGCAGGGGGCAGTGGGAGAGGGAGAAGCAGGCTTCCCACTGAGTAGGGAGCCCAATGTGGGGCTTGATCCCAGATCCCATGACCTGAGCCGAAGGCAGACACTTAATGACTGAGCCACCCAGGCGCCCTGGGTGATTACTGTTAACAATGTTTAGGATCAGGCCAGTTCTTCCTAGTTACATACATCAAACAATTAGGAAGGTATATATGTTAGGAAAAAGGAAAGCATTCTATTTACCCCTTTTCACATCAAACAGAGATAGGTGCTTAAAAATCCACTCCCAGGGCTGGACCTGGGGTGGGGTGAGCAAGGCACTCACCTCAGGTGCAAAATTTAAGAGGGTGCCAAAAAATTCAGTCTTCAATATGAGTAATATTTTATGCAATATTTTATAAAATCTAAATTTATTTCAAAAAATATCCATGATGAACAAAATACCAACATTTTAAATACAGGATCAGTAACATTTTGGGCCAAGCCATATCAGAGAGTGGAGCAAAAGGAAGAATCAGTAATACCTATATGGACTTTATTTAAAATGTTGATATTTTGTTCATCATGGATTTCTTGGCATTCATTTTTCTTTTGTAAAATGTTGCATTAAGATATTATTTAGCTTAGGGGCGCCTGGGTGGCTCAGTCGTTAAGCATCTGCCTTCGGCTCAGGTCATGATCCCAGGACCCTGGGATCGAGCCCCACATCGGGCTCTCTGCTCGTCGGGAAGCCTGCTTCTCCCTCTCCCACTCCCCCTGCTTGTGTTCCCTCTCTTGCGGTCTCTCTCTCTGTCAAATAAATAAATAAAAATATTTTTAAAAAAAAGATATTATTTAGCTTAGGGGCGCCTGGGTGGCTCAGTCGTTAAGCATCTGCCTTCGGCTCAGGTCATGGTCCCAGGGTCCTGGGATCGAGCCCCACATCGGGCTCCCTGCTCAGCGGGAAGCCTGCTTCTCCCTCTCCCACTCCCCCTGCTTGTGTTCCCTCTCTCGCGGTCTCTCTCTCTGTCAAATAAATAAATAAAATCTTTTTTAAAAAAAGATATTATTTAGCTTAAAAAGAAGATATTATTATATTATCTTGTACCCCACGAGTTCCTTATTCATCTCACCTAGTCCTGGCCCTGAACCCCATTTGGCATTGTTACTCCTCTTCTGCCTGTCAGCACACACTAGAAATCAATCTGTTTCTGCCTCCCTCCCCTGCCTACCACCATGTACTAGTGACTCCTTTCAGTCAAAAGTCACAGGATGAAGATGTAATGACTTCCCGTGAAAATTGTGCTCATAAATTCATCTACATTATTCTCCAGTCGGCTGGTCCAGGCTGAGGAAAGACAGCAACTGGTGTGGCTTTGTAACAATGTCAGGACACCGTTCCTGGGAGATGATGACGATGATGTCGACGACGACAAGGAGGACTCGGAGGATGAGAGCTTGGATGAATCCGCCTACCTACTTCCAGAGAATGAGGAGGAGCTCGAAAACTTCATTCACTCAGGTAAATGACTGACCAGTTTATCTTGTCAGATGCGAAGTCACATGAAAGCTGAGCTGGCCGTGATGGTTTGGTTTTCAGAGGCAAAGCTAGGAGGGATTTAATGGAGTTCGAGGTAGTAAAGGTGAATATTTACAGCCACATCGATAGAAATGAACTGTTCTCATCAAATTATACAGAGGGGCCAACAGCCACGGGTTGCTTGGTTCCTTTTGTGGGGCAATTCCAACGACCAGAAGCAGAGTTCAGGAGAAAAAACTTTGCCCAAACAAAACTTTCCCCAGACTAAACTCTTCCTTTAAACACACTTACCAGTGTGGCATTATTCCCGAGTCTAGAACACAGATACACAGATGTCTCTCTTGCACAGTCTGCCTCCATCTGACGTGAACAGGATCCAGCCCACAGAACAGATCCTTGTGTGAGAGATGCTCACCATGCCTGCAGATCTTTGTGAAGAGAAGGCAGCATATGTGTTCATATAAACCTGATTTTGTAGAAGTTCTGAGATACCCGCTTAAAAAAATTCTGGAGCAAAAATATGTACAGTGCAGTGTCTGATTCAACCGTGTCAGTCTTCCCTTGTATGGATCTCCTCTCTAAAACCCCAGATGCGTCAGAGACAGGCTGGAAGGCCAGGAGTGCAGTGATCAGTGATGTCTACTGACATTAATGCCCTTGTTTACCCTTAGGAAATATTTTTTCAATGTATTTTCCTTCCTTTGAAGCATAGCTTTTCTTCATTCTTCTAAGTTTTTATTTAAATTCCAGTTAGTTAACATACAGTGTAATATTAGTTTCAGATGTACAATGTAGTGATTCAGCACTTCCATATGACACCCAGTGCTCATCACAAGTGCACTCCGTAATCCCCGTCACCTGTTTCTCCCCATCCTCCCACCCACCTCCCTTCTGGTAGCCATCAGTTTGTTCTCTATGGTTAAGAGTCTGTTTCTTGGATTGCCACTCTCTTTTTTACCCCTTTGCTCATTTGTTTCTTAAATTACACATATGAGTGAAACCATATGGTATTTGTCTTTCTCTGACTGACTTAATTCACTGAGCATAATATTCTCTAGCTCCATCCATGTCATTGCAAATGGCAAGATTTCATTCTTTTTTATGGCTGAGTAATATTCCATTATGTACATATACCACATCTTCTTTATCCATTCATCAGCCGACATTCTTTTTTTTTTTTTAACTGAGCATTTATAAAGCTTGTATATAAGATGTGGGAAAATAGCTTTATTTTGGGCGGGAGTAAATAACTTTAAAATTCAATTTTCACCATCCTTTTCAGAGAAATAACATCCATTATATCTTGAAAATTCTACTGTTTACACCTTTATTTTTCCATACCTTTTCTGTCACCTCTTTTATCTCTATTCCTCATTTATTAGTATTTCAGTAACATTATGTCTATGTTTTAGTTATTAGATCCAAAAGAAGAAAGCATATGGTAAACAAGAGATTGAAGAAAGAACAAGATTTATTAATGGAAACAAAAAGAGGGAATTCTATGCACAGTATATTCTCAGAGGATCTATGAGAGCAAACGAAAGAGATGCAGGACGTGCCAGCCCGTGGGGAGCCAACAGTTGCAAGGACAGCCCACGACTGGGGACCTGAGCATGACTTACTCCTGGAGAGCTCTGTTCAGAGCACTCTAAAGAAGAAAACTAGAAGTATATAACAGAAAATAAATTCATATGTGCAATGATTCTTGATTCTTAGCTCTCATAGTCCATTAATAATTATAACTTAATTGGAAAAGAGAAAAATCCAACTTCATGAATATGAAAGACAGACTGTCAGGATTTTTTTCTTTTTTCTTTTTATTTTTTTTTAAAGATTTTATTTATTTATTTGAGAGAGAGAGAATGAGAGAGAGCACATGAGACGGGGGAGGGTCAGAGGGAGAAGCAGACTCCCTGCCGAGCAGGGAGCCCGATGCGGGACTCGATCAGGGACTCCAGGATCATGACCTGAGCCGAAGGCAGTCGCTTAACCAACTGAGCCACCCAGGCGCCCCGATTTTTTTCTTTTTTAAAAAATTTTTTATTTATTTATGTTTTTTTAGGATTTTCTTTCCTTGGTCCTAACCAAAAGCACAAATAATTTCTTTGGGCAGTATCTCAGACCAAGCTAAGGAATCGCTTTCATGATACAAAACTTTTCCAGGGATATTATCTATCAATTCCAGTACCTTGCCTCTATTTTCCTCACAAGGAAGCTGAGAATATCAAAATAGATATGACACTGGATTAAGATGCAAACATCCCTGTTTTTAAGGAGCTGGGACCTGGTGAGGAAAAAGGGTCTGCAGGCAAGGAGCTGTAAAGCATGGCCAGTTATGGTGGGTGCTCTAAGCTGGGAGCTGCTGAGAGCTGTGGAAATACAGGAGTCAAGACTGAATCCAAATGGGTCAATGCTTTGGAAAACGGTGTGATGGTTCCTCAGAAAGTTAAACAGACAGTCACTACATGATCTAGCAATTCCACTGTTCGGGTTAGGTCTGAGGAAACTGAAAACACACATACACAGAAAAACCTGGACACAAATGTCCACAGCAGCATTACTCATAAGAGCAAAAAGGTGGAAACAACCCAGCTGTCCATGAATTGACAAAAAGATAAAGTGGGGGTCTATCTATACAGTGGAATATTCTTCAGCCATAAGAAAGACAGAAATAGGGGCGCCTGGGTGGCTCAGTTGGTTAAGCAACTGCCTTCGGCTCAGGTCATGATCCTGGAGTCCCGGGATCGAGTTCCGCATCGGGCTCCCTGCTCGGCAGGGAGTCTGCTTCTCCTTCTGACCCTCATGATCTCTCTCTCTATCTCATTCTCTCTCTCAAATAAATAAAAATTTAAAAATCTTAAAAAAAAAAAAAAAGAAATACCGATACATCTACAACATAGAAAAACCTTGACAATGTTATGCTAAATGAAATAAGTCAGACACAAAGGTCACACATTTTCTGATTTCATTTATCCAAAATGCTCAAAATAATCAAATCCATAGAGGCAGAAAGTAGATAAGTGGTTCCAGGAACTGGGTGGGGAGAGAAAAGGGAAGGACAGCTGATGGGAGTGGGGTTTCTTTTTGGGGTAAGGAAAATGTTTAAAAACTAGATAGTTGTGATGGTTATACAACCTGGTGAATATACTAAAAAAAGAAAAAAACACCACGGGATTGTACTCTTTAAAAGAGCAAATGTTGTGGTATGTGAAAGAGATCTCAAACAAACTGTTAAAAAAAAGATTTTGTCTAATTTGAGGGTGAACTGAAGCCAGACCTAGGCTTCCTGACTCTTCCTTTCAGTTTCCGTCCTTCCTAAAATAAAAAAATTATAACAACAACAAAAATTATAATAGACAACGTGACGAAGGAATAGTGGGGTATATATGAGAAATTGGGACAGTCCAGAGAATCTTTCGGCCAACAGTTTGCACCTGCCTTGGTGGTGCAGCCAGGAAGGAGTTACGTGTGGGGTGGGTGGCGCAGGGGACAGCAGGGCAGAGCTGGCCAGTGTCCTGCACCGATTCACAGCCCCCAGACCTTCAGTGTCCTTCAGTGCAACCTCATATCCTTGGGCAAGACACACACCCAGCCCCTATGAGATGAAATCCTAAGTTAGAAAGCAAGACTGCTATCTTAGTCGGCTCAGGCTGCCCTAAAAAAAATGCTGTTGATGAGGTGGTTTAAACAACAAATATTTATTTCTCAGTGTCCTAGAGGCTAGAAGTCCAAGATCAAGGTGCTAGCATGGTTGAGTTCTCGGGCAAGCCCTATTCCTGGTTTCCTCACATGGTGGAGGAGAGAGGGAGAGAAGCAGCAAGCTCTTTCCTCTGTTTCTGATTATAAGGGCACTGATCCCATTCATGAGGGCTCCACCCTCATGGCCTGATTACCTCCCCAAGGCCTCACCTCCAAATGCCATCACCTTGGGGATTAGGGCTTCAACGCGGGGGATGAGGGAGTCACAAACAGTCTATAGCAATTGCTTTTTTTTTTTTTTTTAAGACCTTATTTATTTCAGAGAGAGAGAATGCCTATGCAGGCATGAGCAGGGAAGGGCTAGAGGGAGAAGCAGACTTCCCACCAAGCAGGGAGCCCGATGCGAGGCTTGATCCTGGGACCCTGAGATCATGAGCTGAGCTGAAGGCAGACACTTAAACGCCACCCAGGCGCCCCCCGCCCCAGCCCAGCTACTGAAAACTTTACTGGGAGCTAGCTGGTACTAGAGGAAGCAGGGTGAAAATCCATTCCATCATTGATAACTCTCAGAGCAATTATATTCCAGCGTTCCAAATTAGGTGTGGGCCCAGAAAGTGGGGAAGCCAGGGTTCAGTGTACCTCTGTGCCTCTGGAGTCCATCAAGGTTTGTGGCTAGGCTCTCTGGTCATTGGCCCCCAGCCTGGTACATATTCCAGTGTTGGTTTTGCGGGCAGCTCACTACATACCATATATAGACACCAGCATGGAGAGGCTGGACTGCTTTTTATCACCTTGAATAAACCAAGGAAGGGAAGAACATGAGTCTTCATGGGCAGATGTCTCTTAGCAGAAACCACTGTGGTAGGTGGAACTCAGATGGTCCCCAAGATTCTTGCCCCTGGTGTACATAGCTGTATCATTTCTTCCCCTTGAGTGTGGCTCTGTGAATATGGAAATGTCACGTATGGCCCTCCCATGATTAGGTTGAGGAGATAGAATAGCTGCTCTTTTAATTGTTACATTATATAAGACTGACTTAGCCAACTGGAGAGCCACCTCTCTGAGTCTTTAGGGACTGGCTCCATGCAGGGAAAGACTTCCACTAATCAACCTAGCATGAAAGCTTGAGGCCTTCTCATATCTTTTCTGGGCATCATGCATCTCCCCTGGTGTGTGTCTGTGTGTGTGTGTTCCCCAATTCTGCAGTACACATGTCTTAGTGTTCCTATGGTCTCACACCCGCTTCTTCTGGTGTATTCCTCTGCCTAAACTGTCCCCAGCCACCTACCAGACTGCTGTCTTCCTGCAGCTATCCCAAGGTTTGCGATCTGCGAGTGTCCTTACTGCCTCCAACCTGATTTCCAAACTATTGCCACCATTCCCATGATCACCGAGGCAGGCGATGCAGAAACCGGGCCCCGGGTCAGCTTTCAGACAAGCCAGAACACTGCAATCAAGCCCCACTGTTTTCCTTCCTTCCTGGGTTTCTATAGACCTCTAACTGATGCGTAAGTACGCATAAAGCTATTTTGATCAGCATGTTTTGTTTATTCAGTGTTTTTAAGAATAGTAAGGGCCTGTAGATTCCGAGTCTGCCATTTATTGATGTCACTCTGGTTTAAGGTTAAACTTTCAAAATTATTTTTCTTATTGGCATGGTTGGCCTTTTGGAATTCTTGTCATCTATACAAAGGTTTTTCACTTTTGAGTGAGATGATTTCTATCTCACTAATTTGTAGGACTTATTTATTAAATGAATTAATTATTTATATAGCTGCTTTTTAACAATTATGAGTGATTCACATATCTTCTCAACTGTGTGGCTCATCATTTCTGTTTTTGTGGTATTTTGTAATCATAGACACTTTTAATGTAATTGGTTATATATATTTTTTGTAGTTGGTTATATTTAAATATATACTTATTGTCATATTTTTGTGTCTGTTTTGAGAAATTCTCTATGTACATTCTTTTTTTTTTTTTTTAAGTTTTTTTTTATTTATTTGACAGAGAGAGACACAGCAAGAGAGGGAACACAAGCAGGGGGAGTGGGAGAGGGAGAAGCAGGCTTCCCGTGGAGCAGGGAGCCCGATGCGGGGCTCGATCCCAGGACCCTGGGATCATGACCTGAGCCGAAGGCAGATGCCCAACGACTGAGCCACCCAGGCGCCCCTGCCATATGATTTTTTAAAAGATTTTATATGCTAGGGCGCCTGGGTGGCTCAGATGGTTAAGCGTCTGCCTTCGGCTCAGGTCGTGATCCCAGCGTCCTGGGATCGAGCCCCGCATCGGGCTCCCTGCTCAGCGGGAAGCCTGCTTCTCCCTCTCCCGCTCCCCCTGCTTGTGTTCCCTCTCTCGCTGTGGGTCTCTCTCTGTCAAATAAATAAATAAAATCTTTAAAAAAAAAGATTTTATATGCTTACCTATTTTAGGGGGAGAGAGAGAGAGAGAGCGAGAGAGAGCGACATGGGGTAGGGGCAGAGGGAGAAGGAGAGAGAGAATCTCAAGCCAACTCTGAGCTGAGCGCAGAAGCAGAGCCCAACAGGGAGGCCCAATCCCGTGACCCGGAGATCACAACCCCAGCCAAAACCAAGAGTCAGACACTCAACAGACTGAGCCACCCAGGTGTCCCCCATATGATTTTTAAAGATATTTTCTTGAGGGCCGCCTGCCTGGCTTGGTCGGCAGAGCATGTGACTCTTTTTTTTTTTTTTAAGATTTTATTTATTTTTTGACAGAGACACAGCGAGAGAGGGAACACAAGCAGGGGGAGAGGGAGAAGCAGGCTTCCCGCCGAGCAGGGAGCCCGATGCGGGGCTGGATCCCAGGACCCTGGGATCATGACCTGAGCCGAAGGTAGACACTTAACAACTGAGACACCCAGGCACCCCAGCATGTGACTCTTGATCTCAGGGTTGTAAGTTTGAGCCCCATGTTGTGTGTAGAGATTACTTTAAAAAAAAATCTTTAGGGGCGCCTGGGTGGCTCAGTCAGTTAAGCATCTGCCTTTCAGCTCAGGTCAGGATCCCAGAGTCCTGGGATCCTGCCTCATGTAGCGCTCCCTACCCAGTGGGCAGTCTGCTTTTCCTTCTCCCTTTGCCCTTACCCCTGCTCATGCTCTCTCTCACGCACGCGCTTTCTCTCAAATAAATAAAATCTTTAAAAAATAAAATAAAATTGTTAGTGCTCGCTTCGACAGCACATATACTAAAATTGGAATGATACGGGTTAGATTAAGATGGCCCCTGCACAAGGATGACACACAAATTCCTGAAGTATTCCATATTTTTTTGTAATTTCTAGAATTATATAGATGAATTGTCTGTTTGGTTTTGTGTAGGCACCACTTTTGTTTTACCTTTGTCTTAGCTGCATGAAATAAAATTCTTAAAGGTTTGAATAAAATAAAATCTTTAAGAAAATATTTCTCAAATTCCTAAACATGGTTGGATTATTATAATTATGACGATTTTTTCTATCCCCTCACTAAAATCAAGCTGTTTAGCACAATTCATAGTCATTTTGTGTTGCAACAGAATTGACACCAAATGACTAATTGATATGTCCAGGATGGATTCTTTAGTCAGTGTTTGAAATTTACTTTTTCTTTTTTTTTTTTTTTAAGATTTTATTTATTTGACAGAGACAGCCTGAGCAGGAGGAGCTGCAGGCAGAGGGAGAGGAAGATGGGGATGGGGAGGGAAAGGGAGAAGCAGTCTTCCCGCTGAGCAAGGAACTCCATGCTTCTTCATCAGCCTTTTCTTTCTTTTTAAAAAGATTTTATTTATTTATTTGTCAGAGAGAGAGAGAGCATAAGCACAAGCAGGGGGAGTGGCAGGCAGAGGGAGAAGCAAGCTCTCCACTGTGCAAGAAGCCCAACTTGGGACTCCATCCCAGGACCCTGGGATCATGACCTGAGCCGAAGGCCGACACTTAACTGACTGAGCCGCCCAGCTGCCCTGAAATTTACTTTTTCTGTTTTAGATAACAATGAAATTGATATTTTGTGACTTTTATTTTCCTTGTTTATTGCAAAATTCTACTGGCTTGATTTTTATTTTTACTTGAGTATTCCCTCCGAGATTTTCATCTAGATAGGCTTTATTTAGGAAACAAAATTAAGAAATTTACCAATATATTTAATTTATTTTAGTCCTCTTTCCTTTACTTAGCTATAATCTAGCAACAACTTTATGTTGAGAAATGAGTTATTTTAGTTTTTTTTATTTTGTTATTGACATGATATTCTGACTCTGGTGTATTTATTTGACTTGATTAAACCCCCACAAACCCATCACCTTGCCTTCAAAAAATCCTGATAGTTTTGTTTGTTTAGGCACCTTCCATACTTGCCAGAACCATTGCCCTTTTTCTTGCTTTTTTTCTTACCACTTTCTGCTGATCATACAGCATATTGCAATCATGACATTGCTTATGATAAAAGTGCTAAGTATTCAATTGAAATAAATTTATTTTGTTAAAGTTTACACCTTAGTGCTTTTGATATTAGTTTTAATGGAAAGGTTTTTTGTTTTAATTAGTGCTTAAAAGTAATGCAATACAGGGGCGTCTGCATGGCTCAGTCTGTTGGGTGTCTGCCTTTGGCTTGGGTCATGATCCCGGGTTTGTGGGATTGATCCCCGCATCAGGCTCCCTGCTGCTCCCCCTGCGTGTTCTCTCTCTCTGTCTGTCTCTCTGTCAAATAAATAACAAATTAGTTTAAAAAGTAATGCAACAGGGCGCCTGGGTGGCTCAGTAGGTTAAGCGACTGCCTTCGGCTCAGGTCATGATCCTGGAGTCCCGGGATCGAGTCCCGCATCAGGGTCCCTGCTCTGCAGGGAGTCTGCTTCTCCCTCTGACCCTCCCCCCCATGTGCTCTCTCTCTCTCTCAAATAAATAAATAAAATCTTAAAAAAAAAGTAATGCAACACAGTATTTAGTAGGCAGCTTTTGTAAATTATCCTCCATAAAATGAAATTCATTTTCAGAACTTATTGTCAGCCATTGGCACTTTGAAGAATTGAATTTATTTATTTGAAGGGGGGGAGGAGTAGAGGGAGAGGGACAAGGCAACTTAGAGCTGAGCACAGAGTCCCCCCGCAGGACTCTATCCAAGGGCCCTGAGATCATGACCTGAGCCAAAATTAAGAGTCAGATGCTTAACTGACTGAGCCACCCAGGTGCCCCTGAATAGCATTTTAAAACAATATATTAGGTGACATGGATGCTATGAATAACATGTCTAAAATTTCTTACCTTTAATAAACTCAATGACAATGCTATTCCTACATGAAAGAGCTGTTTCTTCTCAGGGAGAGTCTTATGCTTAATGCTTAATCTTAACTAGGATTTGCTGGTCTTAATTTTAAGTCTTTCAATTAGATGTGTTAATGTTCTTCACAGGTTCAAAGTTTTCGTGAAGAAATTGTCTCCATTGAATGGTACTCTATTACTCAGGAACGTGGAATCTTTTAATGGAAAAACAGAATGATCAGCTCTAAAAACTTTCCAATTCAAGAATCCCCAAATTACCCATTGTGCACCAACAACATCACTACTGGAATTTCTCCAAGATCTTCACTTCTTTCACCATCCAAGGTACTTCTCCAGAGACATTTCTGCCACCATCTCTGTATCACTACATAGTCATAATTAATAACCATCTTTAAAACTTTTTTAATGAGGTGTAATTGAGGACGCCTGGGTGGCTCAGTTGGGTAAGTGTCTGCCTTCGGCTCAGGTCATGATCCCAGGGTCCTGGGATTGAGTCCTACATCAGGCTCCTTGCTCAGTGGGGAGCCTGCTTCTCCCTCTGCCTGCCGTTCCCTCTGCTTGTATTCTCTTTCTCTCTCTCTCTGACAAATAAATAAATAAAATCTTTTTAAAAATTGAGGTATAATTGACATATAACATTATATTAGTTTCAGGTGTACAGCATAATGATTCCATATTTGTATACATTGTGAAATGACTACAATAACTCTAGTTAATATCCATCACCTTACACAGTTACAAAAATTAATAGCTTTCTATAATTTGCATTTTACAACTGTTTTTCTGAGATATCAGTTCTTCATGCAGAGTACTCCCTGTAATCACAGGAAATGATAACCACTTTTCAGTAATGAGATGAGATCATGGATTTAAGCTACTCCTACATTTTGGGATTCAGAGCACCCTTTGCATGCATGCTCCACCTGTGAACACTGCAGACATTGTCCTGTATCAAAATAGTATTTCTTTCATTTTTCTATTTTTGAGATCAATGTCAGATCTTAAAGGAAGGGAATATAAGGACAATGAATAAGAGATGTGAATGGGGGGCGCCTGGGTGGCTGAGTCGTTAAGCGTCTGCCTTGGCTCAGGTCATGATCCCAGGGTCCTGGAATCGAGCCCCACATCGGGCTCCCTGCTCTGCGGGAAGCCTGCTTCTCCCTCTCCCACTCCCCCCTGCTTGTGTTCTCGCTCTCTGTCAAATAAATAAATAAAATCTAAAAAAAAAAGAGATGTGAATGGATAAAAGGTCACCAAATTGCACATAACAGGTTATACAGATCCATATTTGTACTCTTGCTTCAGGGTAGCACATCCTCCTCCATCTTTCTTGTCACGCCCCTATCTGGAGTATTTTTCTTGTCTCTGAACATACACAGTTCAGTTCCTAAAACTGGCTCTAATTCTTCAGAGCGCATGCATTTGAGTTACTCTACGGTAATTTTTATTCGTTTCCTCTACCAGTGGACACACTTTGTGACTAACTGGAAAATTTTGTGCACTTGGATCTGTAGCCTTTGGGAGCATCCGAAAGAATATGTTTAGCTTCTGAGAGCATGTTGAGCTTCATGGACTCTAAAATAACATATCTCCACATATGTGCTCAGTTGCAGCCAGACTCTCCAGAAATCTAAGTACGGCCTCTTTAAGAAGGAGCTAAGTCCTTCCTCCGTCCTGGCACCTAGAGTCGCCATTTCCCAGAGGTCCTCGCGGCGCAGTTCGGCCTTTTGGATTGGAGGTGAGGTGTGAGCGCTCTTACGCGCGCCTGTGGCTCTGTGAGAACTACATTGTCCGGAAAGCTGTGCGATGAGGGGCGGGACGCAGGAAAAAAAATCGGCGTTTCCGGCTGAGACATAAAACGTCCGGGCGGGACTTCCGGCATCTTTCTAGTAGTCCATCGTTTTGGCTTCCTTGAAGTCCTGTCAGTGTGGTCTGGGATTCGGAGCGCTGGGTGGGGGCCGAGGTGACGGGACGGAGAGGGCGCGAGGGGAGACGCTGTCCCGCGGCGGGGCCGGGGCCCTGATCGCCGGCCCGGGCGCCCGCTCCGCCACAGGGTCCGATGGCGGCGGCCGCGCGCAGGGACCCGGCTCAGGTAAGCGCTCGTCCCCCCACCCAGACCCCGAAGGCCCCAGGCCCCGGTGTCCGGGACAGGGAGGCGGCGGCGGGCGGGGGCCCCGTGCGGGAGCGGGCTCCGGGCCGAGGGGCATTTGGTAAGGGGCGATGTTGGGCACTGAGGTTGAGCAGCCAGCACGAAGTCCCCAGCCTCCGTATCAGGGCCAGGCAGGGGTACAGGGAGACCTGAGTCCGTCAAGCCCTGCCGTGGACTCATTCCTCTAAGGCTGGCCTTCCCGCATGCCGTGGCTTCAAAAGCGGCCATGGAACCACAGGAAAGTGCTCGGTCCCTCACCCTGAACCACGTGTTCTGTGCATTGTGGTGCCTTCGGACTTAGTGCTATTCACTTAGTCCTTGGGTCTAGGGACCCCAAACGTCGGGTCCTAGGTCCATGCCGGGGTTATAGGTAAGTGTGCCTGTTTCTGGCAGTCACTGTAAATGGGTGTGAAGGGTTATGCCTAGAATTGATACCAGGCTGTGTCAGTTCTTAGAGGTAATAATAGCATGTTCGGAATATTCAGGAAACCACAAGTCTTTCTTTCAGGTGGGAGCAAGGAGCAGGGGGATGGGGGTCAGGACTGCAATGGCGGCCTGAAAACGTGGGTGTCTACTCTAGAGGTAATGGGAAGTTTGTATCAGAAGAGGGAGGCGATCTTACCAAGGTCTTAATAGGCTCTGTCTGGGTGCAGAGAAGGCAATGACTGGGCTTGAGGAGGAGGAAGGAAGATCAGGGTGGAGGCTGTTGCCAAAGTCCAGCTGAATGTGAGTGGACCAGAATCATAGCTGAGATGTGGTTGGATTCTGGACTTGTGTTTTTAAAGGGGCAACTAGATTTTCTGATGTGAATGCTGAGGGTGTGAAACAAGATTCAGAGGTGGTATTTAGAAGTAGGGACGGAGGGGCGCCTGGGTGGCTCAGTCGGTTAAGCGACTGCCTTCGGCTCAGGTCATGATCCTGGAGTCCCTGGATCGAGTCCTGCATCGGGCTCCCTGCTCGGCAGGGAGTCTGCTTCTCCCTCTGACCCTCCCCCCCCATGTGCTCTCTCTCTCTCTAATAAATAAATAAAATCTTAAAAAAAAAAAAAAGAAGTAGGGATGGAAGCTCCATCATCGTTCACGAGGAACTTGGTTATGGGAGTAGTAGTCACTGGGGATACCAGGAGCTGTGTTTTGACCCAGCGAAGAGTCTGAAATGTTTCGGAGACCACTAAGTGGAGGCGTTTAAGCGGGCTGCTAAATAAATAGGTCTGAAATCTGGGGTGTGGTTCAGGATGAAAACATCCAAAATGTGGTGGCTACTGTGTGGGCCCAAGTGAATGAACGTGGGTCACATTTAGGAGGGGTGATCTTCAAGTTATGGTGGTAGAGCTGTTAAGGGACCATGAGGGGGAGGGTGGAGGTAGAGGCCTGGGTCTCTGGCCTGGATACCTGGCTGATGGTATCAAGCTTTACAAACAGGGGTGAGGGAGGGAAGTGGTTATCAGTGGGGATAGGGGGAGGGGAAAGGGGTAGAGGGGCCTCAGAGATAGTGTTATCTGGCAGGTGGCCAAGGCTTCTAGGAGAAGAGTGGACATGAGCTGGATGCAGAGGCAGAAAAAAATGAGGCAAGATCTCAGGTTAGAGCAGGTGCTTATTCACCACTCTATATATACACTAGGGTTTTATGAGAACTTTGGTGGGGCTTGTGGTGTTTCATTCATCTTGAACAGTAAGGTCAGGAGCATATGTGGTCCTCTGTAAGAGTCACTAGACCAATGGGCTGAGCTTTGAATGAGGGTTAGGTGGACAAAGAAAGGCTGTGACTATTGAGGGGACAGCAAGTGCCCCACAGAAGTGGAAGAGGGCCTTGGGTATCTGAGAGCCACATGTCGTTCTGAGTCTGAGGCAAGGAATGGAACCAGGCAGGGAGATCGTCTTAGGTTTTGGTGCTGTGACCACTAGTGGAAACCATGGGATGTAAGGGGTGGTATTGGATCCTGTTTGAATATGTCAAGCATAATCTGGATGCCATTTGCCAAGTTGTAGCATAGGCCTAAAATTAAGGCCCATTATGGGTGCCCTTAACGTGTGGTGAAAATGGGATGGCGAGGTTGGCTTGAGTGCAAATTCCCCTCCCCACTCTGCTCCTGCAGGTAAGCTCTCCCAACCAAACACCTCCTTTTTATCAAGGAGACCAGAGCAGTTCCAGTTTATCCCTTTGTAGAGGGTTTCAGTTCCCTGTCAATCTTTGGAGTTATGTAACAAGCCAGTCACATCTTTTCATGGGAACCAAGTTAAACTTCTTGATAATACAAAGCTTACATCCCAGAGCTCCTGGTGATTCTTTTTTTTTTTTTTTTTTGGAGTACAAGCTTCATGTTGCCCTGTGTGGTGTAGCATGTCCTCCTCTCACATACTGTGAGTATGTGCTTAATGAATTGCTGTAGTCTCATCTGGCCGGTGTCAGATATCATATGTTTGGCCATCTCCATAACTGTAGGGTAGGAATTCCACTCTCACCAGTGGGATGAAGAGATGCTGAATAAAACACAAACAATATGTGGAGAGTCCAGGGACATGCCTGGTCACATGGAGTGGGCCAGTGAGGTGGTGGTGGCCATGGGCATGTGGCTATGGGATCCAGAGATGTGAGAGATGTGCCCTCTAAAGAACGATGTTCACTGGGAGAGAGATTATACCTGATGGTTCTAGGACCTGGTATTGAGACCTTGGCCATAGCAGGGTAATACGGGCAGCTGGATCCCTCTATGCCAGGCCCACAGCTCAGATATGTATTTGTCCACCTGCCTCTTGTTGCTGGTGTCTGGATCCCATGATTAATGGGCTCATGAAGACACAGTGGTGTCATGGCATAGTTTCTCCTCTGAGTTGGGGAGCTTGGAATGTTGTGGGGGAAGGTATTGGGCTCCTCAGGAGTGGACTGTTGTGGTTCATCTGTCCCCATCCTGCCAGGGCAGGGTGACCTTTGAAGACGTGGCCGTGTACTTCTCCTGGGAGGAATGGGGTCTCCTTGATGAGGCTCAGAGATGTCTGTACCAGGATGTGATGCTGGAGAACTTGGCGCCTATAACCTCCCTGGGAAAGGCCCTCAAACCTACTCCTGTGTCCTGAGATACTTTTTGTCCTTCTTCTTTCCTGAGGGACAGCTGTGTTTTTCTCACATCAGGACCATGGGCTTTGCTTGCCTCCTTAGTTTCCTGGGTAGGTGCTGTGGTTGGTTGGGCGGAGGTGTTTGCACTGCCCTCTTCTGTCCTTGCGTAGCCCCGGTGCCTGCTTCCCTGCAGGACTCCCAGGGAAGGATGCAGGGTCAGGCATCTCACAGTCATCCTAATGACTCCTACCTTGCTTGCTTGCCCTCCCCCTGGCCAGGTGACTTTGTCCAGATCCCAGGCCCCTGTGTGCCCCAGATCGACTTCCTCTTTCTGGCTGACATTTCCTCCTGCCAGCCTGTGCCGGGTATTGTCATTACTGACATAGTCACTAACACGGATCAGACTCTGTTCTTTCAAGATCCTCCTCTGAAGCTTTGTAGTAGTTTTCTCTCCTGCAGGATATCACGTGCTGAGTGGTGCCGGGCCAGTCCTGGGTGCCCTTCTGTCTTGTCTTCCCCTCAATACTTGTATCGCCCAGGTCCCAGGTAGTTGCTTATGTTGGGGGCGGGGTAGAGAACCCCTGGTGCTTCACAGGCTGGAAATGAATTGTCCTAGTTCATGCTGCTGTAACAAACCAACATGGTTGGATGGTTAAACATATTTTTTTTTTAAAGATTTTATTTATTTATTTGAGAGAGAGACAATGAGAGAGAGCACATGAGAGGGGGGACGGTCAGAGGGAGGAACAGGCTCCCCGCTGAGCAGGGAGCCCGACGCGGGACTCGATCCCGGGACTCCAGGATCACGACCTGAGCCGAAGGCAGTCGCTCAACCGACTGAGCCACCCAGGCGCCCTAGTTAAACATATTTTTATTTCTCACACTTTTGGAGGCTGGGAAGTCCAGATCAAGGCACCAGCATGGTGTAGTTCTGGTGGCGGCCCTGTTCCTGGTTCATAGCTGCTGCGTTCTTTCTGTGTCCTTACATAGTGAAAGGGGCTAGGGAGCCCTCCTTTATAAGGGCTCTGATCTCATTCATGAGGGCTCTACCTTCATGACCTGGTATTGGTGGTGGTGATGACCATGGTGGCCAAACCTCATTAGTGCCTTTCCCATTCTTGACACTGCCAACTGGTCATCTCTGCTGCTTGTCACTTCTACTCTTCCAACTCAGGGTTATTCCCCATGTTGGTGAACTCCACATCTCACCCATTATTGCTCTGCCTGCTGTGCTCTCCAGCATCGGCTTCCAGATGTGTGATGATGTGTGCACATATTCTTAGACAGCCATTGAATACCAGCTGCTCTGTTGCAGTCATGTTTTCATGGGCCCGAACACACTCTTCTACATAACCCACCATGGCAGCAGAAGACCAGATCTGCTGAATGTTGTTTGTAGAGGAACAAGTAGCAGACCGTGCCTTTCCCTCCTGTATTGTACCCCGTGGTGTATCTTTCACCTTGTGGGGCCTTCCACATCCTGTGATCTTTAGAGGCCCAGTTCTGCTAAGCAGCCCATCTGCAATCTGTACCCAACTCTCTGGTCTTCAGGACAGTCCTACTGACCCATTCCTGGGTTTGTCAGGTACTTTTCTAGAGGTTTCCCCTTCTCACCAGTCAACATGTACTTTACCAGTGTTTCTTTTCTTCAGGTTGTTGGTGTGGAGTGGAGGATAAGGCTGCATCTTCTGAGCAGTGCATTTCTGCAAGAGTATTGTCACTGGACAGGACTCCCAAAGCAGGTATGTCTCCCCAGAAGGCACACCTCTGTGAGATGTGTGGAACCATCTTGAGAGACATTTTACCTTTGGTTGAACACCAGGAAACACATCCTAAGCAGAAACTGTACATGTGTGGGGCATGTGGAAAACGATTTCATGTCACTGCAAACCTTCATCAGCACCATAAGCAGCAAATTGAAGAGAAACACTTCAGAAGCAACATGGGCAGAGCCTCGCTTTTGGAGAAATGCAAATTCCATATGTCAGCGAAGCCCTTTACCTATGAAGAAATTAGGAAGGACTTCCTGGCCAACCCGGGCTTTCTCCCGCAACAGGTCACTCACATCAGGGAGAAGTCAAACAGTAGAACTGAGTGTGCGGTGGCCTTCCACAGTGTAAAATGTCATAACAGGGAAGACTGCATGAAAGCTTTCAACCCCAAACACACATTTGTTCAGCACCAGCAAGTCCTCATGAGGGAAAGATGTTACAGGTGTGATGAATGTGGAAAATCCTTTAGCAAAAGCTGTAGCCCCCGTGACCATTTGAGAGTTCACACTAGAGAAAAGCCTTATAAATGTGGGGAATGTGGGAAATCCTTTAGGCAAAGTTCTGGCCTCATTCAACACCAGAGAGTTCACAGTGTACTAAGACCTCATGAATCTGATGAATGCAGAAAATTATTTAGCAAGAAGTACAACCTCATTATGCAACGGAAAGTTCACACTGGTGAAAAGCCATATGACTGCAGTGAATGTGGGAAATTTTTTAGCTACAAATCTAACCTCATTACTCACCAGAGAATTCATACTGGAACAAGGCCTTATGAGTGCAGTGAATGTGGGAAATCCTTCAGCCACACCTCTGGTCTCATTAAACACCAGAGAATTCACACTGGAGAAAGGCCTTATGAGTGTGAGAAATGTGGGAAATCCTTTAGCCAGACCTCTCACCTCATTAAACACTGGAGAGTTCATCCTGGAGAAAGAGCTTACGAGTGCAGTGAATGTGGTAAGTTCTTTATCTCTAGCTACTGTTTCTTTCAGCATCAGAGAGTTCACACTTGTTTAAGACCTCACAAATGGGATGATTGTGGAAAGTTACTTACCAACCTGTCCAACCTCATTAAACACCAGAGAGTTCACACTGGAGAGAGGCCATTTGAGTGTAGCGAATGTGGGAAGTCCTTTAGCTGCAAATCCTACCTCATTACACACTGGAGAATTCACACTGGAGCAAGGCCTTATGATTGTGGGGAATGTGGGAAATCATTTAGCCATAGCTCCACGCTCCTTCAACACCAGAGAGTTCACACTAGGGAAAGACCTTATGAGTGCAGTGAATGTGGGAAATCGTTTTGCCACAGCTCTAGCCTCATTACACACCAGAGAAGTCACACTGGAGAAAGGCCTTATGAATGTAGTGAGTGTCAGAAATCCTTTAGTGACAGCTCTAGCCTCATTAAGCACCAAAGAGTTCGTACTGGAGAAAGGCTTTATGAATGCAGTGAATATGGGAAATCCTTTAGCCAGAGCTCTGACCTCATTAATCATCAGAGAGAGCACACTAGAGAAAGACCTTATGGGTGTAGTGAATGTGGGAAATTGTTTACCTTCAACTCTAACCTCCTAAAACATCAGAATGTCGGCAAGGAATAAAACCCTTCCCATAATACAGGTAAGTCTATTATAGACTGCATTGTGCCCCCTCAGAACTCATATGTTCAAGTCCTGCTCCACAATGTAACTATATTTAGGTGTGGCTTTTACTAAGATAATTGAGGATAAATGAGGTAATAAAGATGGGGGCCTAATCCAGTGTGACTGGCGTCCTTAGAAGAAAAGATACTAGAAGGTATGCTCTCGCATGCTGTGTCTCTGTCTCTCTCCCCATGAACAGAAGACAGACTATGTAATAAGACAGCTGTCTGTAAGCCTGGAAGAGTGGCCTCACCACAGACCAGTCCTGATGGTACCTTGGTCTTGGAGTTCTAACCTCTAGAAGTATGAGAAAATAAATTTCTGTTGTTTAAGCCAACTAGTCTGGTATTTTGTTTTGGCAGCCTGAGAGGGGACAAAGATACAATGAAAGTACCACATTACATTCTGTTTTCACTGCATTGATAGGTAGCCATGAATAACCCCAAGAACATATAAAAACAAGGTAAAATAGGGCGCCTGGGTGGCTCAGTCGTTAAGCGTCTGCCTTCGGCTCAGGTCATGATCCCAGGGTCCTGGGATCGAGCCCCGCATCGGGCTCCCTGCTCGGCAGGAAGCCTGCTTCTCCCTCTCCCACTCCCCCTGCTTGTGTTCCTGCTCTCGCTGTCTCTCTCTCTGTCAAATAAATAAATAAAAACCTTTAAAAAAAAAAAAAAACAAGGTAAAATAATTAGGAAGTCACAAATTTTAGAATTACTTTGCTTTATTTTTAAAGATTTTATTTATTTATTCATGAGAGAGAGAGAGGCAGAGGGAGAAGCAGGCTCCCAAGGAGCAGGGAGCCCGATGTGGGACTCGATCCCAGGACCCTGAGATCATGACCTGAGCCGAAGGCAGACACTTAACTGTCTGAGCCACCCAGGCGCCCAAGAATTACTTTGTTTTTTTAACAGGTTTATAGAAGTATAATCAGTTCGTGTTATTCATGATAGTTATTTTCTAGAAAGTCACTGTGAACACTGCGTTAGTGAATACAGAACCATTGCTCTTGGGGAAATCAGGAATTAGGTTCCTGAGAGCCTCTGGTCACATTTTCATCAGTCAATACATAACATTGGTTTACATGTGTTTCTGTTTAAGTGCAACTCATTTAGTATATATTTTTTATTGAATAACATTGAACTCATGGCCAACAGTACTGTAACTTAGCCTGGCCAATACTTAACGTAACATGTACTTTAAGGCACGTTCCTTCTGCTTAGGAATACTAGACAGTACTTAAGCAGGAGGCCATTTGGGATCACAAGATCATGAACAAAAACCACAAGCATGGCAATAAATAGATCATGAGGAGAACACTTGTTTTCAGTATGAAACGAGAAAGCAAAGTGTGGCCTTGTAGACCTCATGCACATCAGGTGACTCAGATTTTTTGTACCTCTGCATGTGTCTGTGAATGAGTGTAAAAGTGTGGGTTGATTGGGCGCCTGGGTGGCTCAGTTGGTTAAGCAACTGCCTTCGGCTCAGGTCATGATCCTGGAGTCCCGGGATCAAGTCCCGCATTGGGCTCCCTGCTCAGCAAGGAGCCTGCTTCTCCCTCTGACCCTCCCCCCTCTCATGTATTCTCTCTCATTCTCGCTCTCTCAAATAAATAAATAAATCTTTAATAAATAAATAACCTCCTCTTTAAAAAAAAAAGTGTGGGTTGATTTTATGGTTTCAATTTTTAGCAGGTAGGTCAATTTATAAACACAAAATCCATGAAAAATTAGCATTGACTATATAGTTTTCCTGAAATAAATTATGTATATTTAAAGCATACAATTTATGTTTGTGTTTTGATACATTCATAAACTCTTGAGACTAAAAGTTCCTTCTTAATCCATTCTTTTTTTTTCTTTAATTTTATTTATTTGAGAGAGAGTGAGAGTGAGTGAGCAAGCACAAGCTGGGGGGAGGGGCAGAGGGAGAAGCAGACTCCCCAGTGAACAGAGAGCCCAATGTGGGACTCAATGCCAGGAACCTGGGATCATGACCTGAGCTGAAGGGCCGATGCTTAACTGACTGAGCCACCCAGCACCCTTCTTAATCCGTTCTTAAACATTTATTATTTCATAGTCATTCTTGTTTCTTCTATTACTATGCACGTTGCTATGCTGTGTTGCTTCTAATCTTGACATCTTGTCTCTTACCACATAATCTGCGGAACACATTTTCAAGTTCAAAGGGCTCTTTGGTAATCTCAACAACTTTGCTCAAACAAAAATACTTAAAAGCATAATAAAATGTTTTCAGTGCCCAATTTTTCTGTTGTCTAAAAATGTGTTTGTTCTTTAAGTCAGGTTCCAAAATGTATCTATGATTTCAGTAGTTCTGTCTCATAATTCTCTCTTTTTTTTTTTTTTTTTAAAGATTTTATTTATTTTTTAGAGAGCAAGCGAGAGAGAAACAGCATGAGAGGGGAGAGGGTCAGAGGGAGAAGCAGGCTCCCCGCTGAGCAGGGAGCCTGATGCGGGACTCGATCCCAGGACCCTGGGATCATGACCTGAGCCGAAGGCAGACGCTTAACCATCTGAGCCACCCAGGCGGCCCTCATAATTCTCTTTTAAACTATAGCTAATGCTTTCACCTTTTGAATTCTTCCTCATTCCTTGAAGTTCCTGAATCATCTGTCCATGAGCGTTTCTCACCTTCTGGCTTTGTCTCTTTGCATATCTGATACAGTTTAATTAGTTACCCTTCCCCTATATTTCCTGTAAACTAGGTATTAATGAGACGGATCTTAGAGCTGTGGTCCCAGATAGGTGTGTTGGGTGCTACACCTGGAAATCCGTACAGTGTGTTTGCTAGAACACCTCATCTCAGCCTGGAAACCCGAGCATTTCAGATGCCATATGCCCCGGCTATACGACGGATGTGTGCTGACAAACCTGTGGGTGTCCCACTGAGAGCCTGAGGACAGGCATGGGATGCGGACACTCCTCAACACAGCCTGGATCCACGGACACATATACCACCGTGTCCACAGAAAACAAGTGTGACCGACACGAGACACAAGCTGCATTTGTAAAGCACCAGGGTCCCTTGGTGAAGAGAGGTGCCGACACCACCGCAGGTGTGGCCGTGGGAACAGGCACACGCGTACTGCATAGAGACCTGTGAGACAGGCCTGTGATAGGGACGTGCCAAAGCTAGTATTTGAGATACACACATACGGTCACACGGTGTCCATCCACAGATTGCATGTGACAAGGCAGACACAGCCTGGCTTGGAGACAACCACCTTCCCCACCACCCCTGCAGGTTTGATGATGTGCTGATGGAAGTGAGAACACACCGGTGAAACCATGATCATGAACCACTGATGGTGAGCTCGTGATGAACCACTCTGTCCTTCCCAGTGTTACCTCCTTCCCTAGATAATACCTTTCCTGCTGTCTTGCATGATTTCCTTTCCTAGACAACCCATTTGTTTAATTTATGTCCGTATAGATTTGCCTTTTCTAGAATTTTGTATCGATTTAACTTTTTGTGGTGTGGTTTCTTTCCTACTGCATGATTATTTTGAGGTTCTTGCATGTGCATATGGTGTATAAATAGTTTTGTTGGAGTTTTTTTCAATCATTTTTATGTGTTTTTCTTCCTCTGAATAATATTCCTAAATTTTATTTTTTAGAGAGAGAGTGCGAGCGGGGGGTGGTGCAGAGGGAGAGGGAGAGACTTTTTTTTTTAAAGATTTCATTTGAGAGAGAGAGAGATCGTGCGTTGGGGGGGTGGGGTTGGAAGGGTGGACTGGGGCAGAGGGGGAGGGGCAGGGACAAGCAGACTCCTCTCTGAGCATGGACACCAACATGGGGCTCAATCTCATGATCCTGAGATCATAACCTGAACGGAAATAAAAATTGATTTCTTTGATGTAAACAACCAAGAACTGTTTCAAAAAACAAAGAGCATTCTCATTTCAATGAATCTCATATGAATAGTAATCATGATTTTTCTAAATGGATTTAGAATTACATGGTTTTAGGGGTGCCTGGGTGGCTCAGTCGTTAAGCGTCTGCCTTCGGCTCAGGTCATGATCCCGGGGTCCTGGGATCCAGCCCTGCATTGGGCTCCCTGCTCGGCGGGAAGCCTGCTTCTCCCTCTCTCACTCCCCCCTGCTTGTGTTCCCCCTCTCTCGCTGTGTCTCTCTCTGTCAAATAAATAAAATCTTAAAAAAAAAAAAAGAATTACATGGTTTTAATTATTTGATCTTATATTTGCATTTTTTTTTTGTCTTGGGATGAAAACTTTGGTTCTCAATAGCATTAATACTTGAAAATAGCAATGCCATTTGTTTACTAATGTGATAATGGAAAACAGTTTGAATATTTTCAGGTTTTTTTCCTTTAAGATATAATCCACTAGTGATGTAGAGTCAAGAGTTTATATTTTTAAATCTAATGAGTGTCTCTTGGTGTGGAAATGTCACTAACTTGCCAAGTACTCAGAGTCTAACTGCTTTTGTTTTAATGTTTTTGATTAAATACTGTTTTATAGTTAGGTAAAATGTTTACCTTTGTTGAAATGTCAAAGCAATAACATTAATTCAAGTAATTGTAGCTTCACCATGATCAGTGTCTGTTCCTATATGAAAATATGTCAGTAACTTTTTATTTCCTGCCCTGTTTATAAAAAAAATAGATAACCATGTTTAAAGTCCTCTGCATTTTTTTTTTTTAAAGATTTTATTTATTTATTTGAGAGAGAGAGAATGAGAGACAGGGAGCATGAGAGGGAGGAGGGTCAGAGGGAGAAGCAGACTCCCGGCAGAGCAGGGAGCCCGATGCGGGACTCGATCCCGGGACTCCAGGATCATGACCTGAGCCGAAGGCAGACCCCAAACAAACGAGCCACCCAGGCGCCCCAAGTCCTCTGCATTTTTTAAACAGTTTATTTTTTTGGAACAGTTTAGGATCACACAAAATTGAGCAGAAAAGGCTGAGATTTTTCCCTACACCCCTTCACCTACACATGCATAGTCTCCCCCAATTATCAGTATCCACCACAAGAATGCTACATTGTTACAATTAATGAACCTATACTGACACATCATTATCGCCCAAACCTCAGCATGTTTATTTTTTGATAATTCTGGCTGCTCTAAATGTTCTCTTTAGCACCCCCTACATGGTGGTATTGCTTAATGTTCTTAAGAATGAAAAAGATTCACATTTTGGAGATGAAACCTTCAGAATGAGCATCCTCGTCCTGTGCTCAGTTTAATTCTATCTGTTCTCAGACATTTTTGCTAAAACTTCTCTGAGCTCTTACCTTTTTTCACCACCCATGATGTTTCATCCAAGCTATTTCTGTCACCACTTTTTAATCACTACATGGACATTTAGTTCTTTGTAATTTGCATTTTACAACTTTTTTCTGAGTTAATATCAATTCCCATGGATGTCAGTCCCTGAAATCACAAGAGAAATGATAATTTCCCAGCAAAGAGATGAAATCATGGATTTAAGATATTTTCAATGTCTCAGTGCTCGGAGCAACCTTTGCATATGTGTTTCACCTTTGAAAACTGCAGCCATTGCTCTGTACCAAACAGCATAGTTTTTTGGTTCTCTTTTTGAGATTGATATCAGATTCCTAAAGGAATTGAATATATGTCAGAATATAAAGTGAGAGAGGGGCTAGCTCAGTCAGTACACTATGCAACTCTTGATCTTGAGGTCATGTGTTTGAGCCCCATATTGGGGAAGTAGAGTTTACTTTAAAAAAATAATGAAGTGGGACGCCTGGGTGGCTCAGTCGGTTAAGCATCTGCCTTCGGCTCAGGTCATGATCCCAGGGTCCTGGGATCGAGTCCCACATCGGGCTCCTTGCTGCTTCTCCCTCTGCCTGCCGCTCCCCCTGCTTGTGTTCTCTCTCTCTCTCTCTCTCTGACATAATAAATAAAATCTGTTGAAAATGAGAGTTTTCAACAGATACAAGTGTTGCTCAATGAATTGTATACGATTAACTCTAAAGGCAGGAGAGACGTTTTCTGTGGGAACTAGAGAGATCGATTTTTGTACTCCTCCTTCAGGGTGGCCCAACATCCCTCCTCTGTCTTTCTTGTCCTGACACTATCAGGATTATTTTTTGTCTTTTTTTTTTTTTTAAAGATTTTATTTATTTATTTGACAGAGAGGGAACACAAGCAGGGGGAGTGGGAGAGGGAGAAGCAGGCTCCCCGCAGAGCAGGGAGCCTGATGTGGGACTCGATCCCAGGCCCCTGGGATCATGACCTGAGCTGAAGGCAGTCGCTTAACCGACTGAGCCACCCAGGCGCCCAGGATTATTTTTGCTCTTGTTCCTGACCAAATATACACAAAGGTGACTGCCAAAAATGACTCTAAAGCTTCAGAGCGATGCAATTGAGCTACAATACTGTACTATATCATTACTGTTAAACAAAATGCAACTGAGTAAATTTTTTTTTAAAGATTTTTTTACTTATTTGACAGACACACAGCGAGAGAGGGAACACAAGCAGGGGGAGTGGGAGAGGGAGAAGCAGGCTTCCCGCTGAGCAGGGAGCCCAATGTGGGGCTCGATCCCAGGATCCCGGGATCATGACCTGAGCCAAAGGCAGATGCTTGACGACTGAGCCACCCAGGCACCGTCAACTGAGTAAATTTTTTAAAGATCTTATTGCCTTGGCAATTCATGAATTAGGCAGCATCCAATGTAGCAGATAAAGAGCCCTGAGAGCTGTACAAAATGAACGATTTGTATATGCACAAGGGAGCAGGAACAGAGAAGTCATACTAAGCATTTGCTGATTGATGTGGGAAACAAAGGCAGAAGAAAAACTTCCTTACTACTTATAGCCCATTGACAAGTTCTGTGAAACAGGCAAAGTACCTTCCTCTGGGAGCTCAGCTTCCATGATGTTGACACTTTGCTAAGACCAAAAGGCCATCTTAACCTGACTCCCTGGGATCCTGTGAGTCTACTTTAAACATATAGAAATTCCTTTGCAAACTTCCTTTATCTTTACTCCCCAAGATATATGTTAGCAATCATACTCCAAGCATATGGCCCCCTAATATATATCTGAAGGGTCTCATGACTGAGTTTTTGCTAAACAGTAATAAGTGACCTTTTCCTAACAATAGCTAGCCCCCTCAGGGTCCTGGAAACCTTGTTTCCAAAAAACCTTGGAGGTTTGTGCTATCCATAACCCCCTCCCAACTTGAAAGTATATAATCGCCCACCCCTCACCATCACAGTGCAGCTCCTTCTGCACATGGGTCTTGTCCCTGTGCTTTAATAAAACTGCCTTTTTGCACTGAAGATGTTCAAGAATTCTTTCTTGACCGTTTGCTCTAAATCCCAACATTTCCATGCTGATTGGTTAAGGCAAGGTTACTTTCCTTAAATACAGCAAAGAAAAGTCTTGGAGCGGGGTCAGGTAACTTGTGCAGGACAGGCAATTGCTAACTGGTTGATCTAAGCCTTCCGTGTCTGGGAAAGTTAAACACAGATTTAGTTTTATCTTGGTTTGCTGACATGGGGCTTAGCATGAGTGACATCATCTTGTGTGCAGTTAGTTTACTTTAACATTAGATTCAGCTTCCAGTGAGCGCATTTTGTGTCTGAATGACTCTATGGAATAATACGTACATTTGGATTGTGACCTTTTAGAGCATCTAGAAATATTTTTAGCCATTAGGCACATGCTGAGCTGCTGGGAATCGGAAATCATGTCTCCATACACTTGATTAGTTGTAGACAGTAATCCTCAGAAATCTGATACAGCCCCTTCAGTAAGGTGCAAAGCTTCTCCTCTGCTCTTGGAGCAGTTGTCAGCCTCTCCAAGCTCTTGGTAACTTCCTCCTCTGGACCAGAACTCAGTTAGGAACCAGCCCGCTGAGGAGCCTGTGGATCCAGGGAACTAGATTACCCAGAATGCTCAGCGCAGAGCGGCAGCGTGGGTGACCAGTGAAGTCTCAGAAAATAGGCGGTTCCGTGGGAGGCACGACTCGTAGGGGCGGGACTTCCTATGTTCTCCACGCATATCGACAGCTCTGGGAGCGGGCTTTCGTGGTGGGGTCCTGCGGAGCGCCGGCGGGGGACAGAGGTGACTCACCGAGAAGGCACGAGGGGAGGCGCTGTCCTCGCCGCACACAGTCGAGTCCGGGTGTCCGCCCACCTCCGGCCTCGCTCAGCCCACCGAGTCCGATGGCGGCGGCCGCGCGCAGGGACCCGGCTCAGGTAAGCGCTCGTCCCCCCAGCCAGACCCCGAAGGCCCAGGCCCCGGCGTCCGGGACAGGGAGGCGGCGGCGGGCGGGGGCCCCGTGCGGGAGCGGGCTCCGGGCCGAGGGCGGCCGGGGCCGAGGCTGGAGGGGGGCTGAGGCGGGAGGATTCTGCCCTCGGGGGACAGAGAGCGTGAGGGGGTCACGCCTGGACTCGCGGGCCGAGGTGCCGTACCTTCAGGTCTAGAGGCCTCCAGAGGCCAAGGAGAGTTTTGCCCAAAGGAGGGACACGATCTCCATTAGGGTTTCAAGAGCAGATTGGAGGAGGGAGATGAGTGCTCTGAGGTCCCTGCTGGTGAGAGGCCACACTGAGCACTGAGGCCCAGGGGTGAGACAGCTAGCCTTGGGTCACCTGGCGCCAGGGCTAGGAAAGGGAACTCAGTAAGTTCTGGTATTTTTATAAACTCCTGAAACCTTTATTACGATGTTAATGAACCTATTCATCACCCCCATATTTACTTCATGCCCTTTTATAATCTCTCTTCTTCTGCTCTCCAGTTAGCTATTGATTTAGCTTCCTTTACGGTAGTTTTTTCCTAAAATTTTATGATTGAAATCATAGTGTTTACTCTTTTTCCTGTGAGTACCCTCATGCAGCGTATTCATTTTGAGATTCACTAATGTTGTTTCTATGAGTAGTTCATGCTTTTTTTTTTTTTTAAAGATTTTATTTATTCGACAGAGAGAGAGACAGCGAGAGAGGGAACACGAGCAGGGGGAGTGCGAGAGAGAGAAGCAGACTTACCGCGAGCAGGGAGCCCCATGCGGGGCTCGATCACAGGACCCTGGGATCATGACCTGAGCCAAAGGCAGACGCTT